CTTCACCTCCGCACACCTCCTGCTGATCCAAATTATACGTTCCTGAGGAAGGGTCAGTTTGTAGTTCCCTGTCGCGGTGCCTCATTTTCTCTTCTGCCAATATCATGCATAGACTATCCTGATCATTGCTGCTCTTCTCTGAGTCTTCATCCCATTCATCGGACTCCCCGAACAGTTTCTCTTCTTCAGCATCTTCTTCTGATGTGGGCCACTCCCCGGACTCTTGACCCAATCCAAGGTGTTCGGCCTCCTCCCAAAATGTCACTTTCTTCTTTCGAACCATAGTCCGCCTTAGTATCTCTTCCGGAATCTTCTTAACTAATGACTGCACGACATCCTTGTCATCGAGTTGCTTTCCTTTCAACGAGTTCTCGCCATACGCTGCCTCATCTCTACTCAGTATTGAGACTTCTGGTTCGTCTTTATCATTGTTCCGGACAACGCGTCTATCGTCTGCTAGATTCTCAAATATTCCCCTCAAGTCCTCACCTATCTTCGCACTTCCGGTCTCTACTTGAATGAGATCGTAGCCTTTTGCCTTTAGTGTTTCCGTCACTATTTTGACTCGAGCCTTACTTCCATTGGCATCCCTCTTTTTTTCCTCAATTTGTTCTCTCTGGACGCTCCCCTGGCAATTCGGGATGATTCTCTATTGGTTTACCTGACTTGTCGAGCCACCTCGTGAGTGGAAGGCTGTCGTAAGTTTCTTTGTCCATAAAAGAGAAGCCATCTTTGATTTCTGGCTTGTCCTCCTCCCTTTGTTCCTGTCTTTCGTAGACTTCCGTCTTCTTACTCAAGCTATCGGCATTTTGATTTTTGTCCCTTGTTCTGTGTTCAATGATCTTAATGTAGCCATCCAAGCGAACTATCAATCTCCCAATGTAGCTCTGATCCATTGAGTACGTTTTCAACCAGCTGAGTGCTCTATTGTCGAACCGTAACTTGAATGGTTCGCTACCTAGGTACGCCCTGTATTTCTCTACAAAGAAGACTACCGCAAACATTTCTGCCTTGGGTGCGCCGTACTTCATTTCTGTATCACTCAAGCCTTTGCTCCCGTATGCTATCGGTCTCAAGACTGTCTTCCCGTTCCATTCCTGCTCTTGATGGAGTATGCCCGAGATCGCTACCACCGACGCATCCGTATCCGGCACTTACATCCATTTTTCCGTTGGCATACCTAGCAGAGGTGCTTCACACAACTCCTTCTTTATCCTGTGGAATGACTCTTCTGCTGCATTTTTCCACGTGAATTTCTTGCCTCTATGCCTCATGAGTTGTTGCATCGGGTACACTTTGTCCGCATAGCCCTTAATGAATTCCCTGTAATAATTCGCAAAACCCAAGAAGCTCATCAGTTGAAGCTCCGTTTTCGGTGATTTCCAAGTTAGCACCGCTTCTACTGGGTCTGGGTCTGGTCTGATGCCATGCTTATCCACCATCCTCCCTAGCTATTTAATTGAGTCCTTGAGTATATCGCACATCGATGGCTTGCATTTTAGTCCTGCTCTTTTCATGCAAGCGAACACCTCATCTGGTCGCTCGATGTGGTCCTCTAGAGTAGTGTCGCTATTACCACGTCGTCCACGTAGCACATCACCAGGTTGCCATATTTCTTCGTTACACTTGTCAATGCGTGTGCCATCAATCGTTAAAATAGAGCCGTGGCATTGCAAAGGCCAAAGGTCATCGTTTTCCATTGAAACAGCCCCAGCTCGCAAGCAAACCCTTTTTGTCCTTGTCCTGCTTCCTCAGTGGGACCTGCCAAAAAGTTGATCCTAAATCAAGAGTTGTAAAAAATTTTGCGTCCCCTAATTTTGAGAGGCTCTGATCAATCCTAGGTATGGGATAGGCATCCTTCACCGTGACGGAGTTCAGATATCGAAATTCACAACAAAACCTTAGTTGGTCGCCTTTCTTCTTAGCCATCACTACTCCACACGCCACGGTGATTTGGATGGTTCTATCATATCATGCTCTAGTAGGGTTTCTATTTATTTTCTACATGCATCCGATTTGTTAGGGATCATACGCCTCGCCCCCTCCCTGTGTGGTACCACCGACTCCTCAAGCTCTGTTTCGTGCTCAACGAAGTTACAACATCCAATGTCTACCTTATGTTTCGAAAAAACGTCCTCGTTTCGATCTAGTACGTCCTAGAAGGCTTCAAGCTATTCGTCCGTCACCTTACCCCTCAAGTGCTCTATCTCTGGTAAAACCGGTTTATCCGCTTCTAATTCCTCTAGTGTTGGTCTTTCCGGAAAATTCGAACAGCTCGAAAGTCCAGCGTCTCTCTCTGACTTAAGCGATTTCACAAGACCTGATGAATATTTTATTTTCTTCAATCTTCTCAAGGTACAAATCTTATCTCAATGATTCGGGCAACCAAGAACTTCACTTTCTTTTACATTTTCAGTCATTTCATATCGAGTTTTCACAGGAAGAGCGTATCCCAATTTCCTTCCCCTCTGGATTGTGATAGGTATATCAAGAGTATTCAACAATACACTGACGCAGAGGCCACTCTTGGTTATCGAGAAGGATCTTCCTAAAATAGCAGCACTTTGACTATTTGGATTTGGGACAATGCATATTTTTTTTGTCACTTATTTCATTATAATATTTCATCCGCACGCTTAATATTGCCGCTTCGTTTGCTTTCAGCCTTACCCTCTTACTCAAGAACACCGGTGCTTTATTCTCATTCGCCATTATCAAATTTACCGGTTTAATTACGTACTTCCTTTCCGGGTTCCAAATCCTGAACATCACATTGTCTAGATCATTGTTACATCGAAATTCCTGATGGAGTCTCTGCCTAAAATGAATTGCCCAGACTCATCTAGATTCTCCATCTCGAGGAAGCTCATCCAAAAACTGCGTTTCCCCAAGTTTAGGGCTAATATTGGTGATCTGCCTAGTACCCGCAGCGCCCCTTTGTTTGCTGCCGACAGCCGTATTCTCGAGTCTATCAAGTCGTCTTTGTCGAAGCCCATCCTTTTCCATATTTCGATTGGTATGACGCTTAATACCGCTCCTGTGTCCAATAACCCACGCAGTTGAAGCTTCTTTCCGCTTATGTCTAGTACGTGCCCAGATACGTCCGCTTCCATCCCGATATTTATCGCGTCTTTTTCTAACACGGCACAGTGTCCAATCGATCTCACTTTTAGTTCTTCTCTACCCACGTAGATTTGCCCGGCTAGGTCTTCATCACATGTTATTATTGTCTTCGTATAGATGTTTATTCCATCTACGTTTAGCATTAACTCATGTGTACCATATGCTTCCGTGTATTTATTGTCGACGCGAACTGATTTGCTGCTACCTCTTGTGAGTAGTGCCCTCACGGCTCTTGAAGTTGTTTGCGGGCTTACTGCACTCAAGTAATCTGCGTACACATCAATGTGCATTATCGTCTGATCGCTCGGTTCACTCAGGTTTCTTGTTACTTTGTGACCGCCCACTATGATTATCGACATTATTCTCACTCCAATTTTCGTTATGCCAAAGGGTTTTTCCGTCACCATTTTCAGAGTGTTGCATTTATCACCGTTTGTTGCACTCTCAATGGCTTCCGACTCTGGGATTGTTCTGCAGAGTGTTTCATTCAATTTCTGCTTCTCTATCTCCTGCCTCAGTCGTTGCTCGATTTCTTTTGTAGCCAAGTTTTGCTTCACTTTTTTGATTGCTTCTGCAGCAGCTTTCTCGTAGTTTATCTCCAGTGAATTCCCAGCCTCGGTCTACATGGCATTCTTGACTTGCGTTACTGCTTTCACCGTCTTTGTTGATAATTCCCCACTCGCTGCCTCCGTGTTCTTCAAATCAATTTTGGCTTGTCTGTTGCTCGCATTCTGTACCGCAGCCGGTGCTAATTTGTGTTTGGGATAATTTTGATTCTTCACAGCCTCCCAAAATAACGGACAGTCCATCCTGAAATGGACCTCTTGATTATAGAAGAAGCACTTTGGGCCTAATTTGATGATTAAGCCACTATAAAACTCATGTTCATCCGTTTGGCTCATGTCTTCTTTATCCGGAGCCTATCCCAGACTTTTCATGCCTTGTTTGTATGTCGTGCAATCCGCTACGTGATGATCCGGTGATCCCCAATTTGTGCTTGACCTACGTTTATCCATATCATCTCTCGGCTTGTACCATGACGACCTTTGTTGTTGGCTTCCTCCTTGCATATTCCTGCCTTCTGAGTACGAGTACTTCTTTGGTTTCATCAACATGAACTCCCTAGATTTTTGTCTCATCTCTTCCGGGGTTGGTGCATTATCTTTTGAAGGTGTATAATACGTCGCCAACATCGTTTTCAAGTCGTCTCTTTTTACCCCGTCGATAAACTTCGAGGTGATGCTGAAATTTTTTCTGTTTGTCGATTCTTCCGGATCACTCCTTCTTCTCAGGATCTCAAGATCATCCAGGAACCGATCGATTGACTCGTCGTCCTTCTGTCTTTTTTTTTCAAATCTCATCATAGCTTGGTGGCCCTTCATTCCTGATCCGAATCGATTAAATAGTATTTCAAAAATTTTATCTGCCGTATCACGTTCCTCTTCCTTCTTTGGTTCTACGCATTTCAACGCTGTGCCCTCTAGATTGCTTAGTATTGCTGTGCAGGCCTGCCTTTCGTCATTCAAGTTGTCCTGTTCTAAGTGTAGTCTCATGATTTCCACCCATGTGTCAATGCAGCCATCCGAGTCGTCTTTGAACTCTTTGGGTTTCTTGAAGGTCTTCCGGGATTTACCACTTCCTCTTTCACTCGAGTCAGTGTTCCTTGTCGCGAACGCTTCCAGTATCCTGTTCATCATCTCTCAGGTGCTTGCCCATGTCATGGCGTCAGGTGCTACATTAGTGTTCGTACTTGAGTCCTCTCGTGCATTCGTAGTGTTTGAGGTTCCACATTTCATGATGGTCTTAGACCCCCCCTGCCCCTGTGCTCGTTGCAATCCGGGGTAACAGTGTAGACTCCCGTTTATTCCGTTGCGGTTCTATGAAGTGGCGCCTTGCGGTCTATCTGCTACCAGCTTGTCTTGCGCCGTAAAATTTCTCAAGAGAGCTTCCAGTTTGGACTGTATGGCACAAGAACTTTCAGCTTGGTATTTGCTCATTGTGTCCATTCTCGACTCTAGATTCCACAACTTTTCGTTCACAGTGTCGTATCGTTGCTTCATTTCCTGCATGTCCGTTTTGATATGTTTCTCTCGTTCTTTGTCGGTGGCCTCTACCTTGTCTGACATCTGCTGTAACTTTTCTTCCGTTGCCCTTGCCAGGTTGAAACAGTTGTCTAGGTTCTCATTCTTGTTGTATCGTATTTCCTTTTTTAGCATTTGTCGATCCTCTTCGCTGCACTTCAATTTTTTGTCGATTTGCTCAAACTTTGCCATCAAGTCGCCCAGCTCAAGAGAAGTTGTTTTTTTATGGTTAGCTGTTGCCCCACGTTTGATCTGCTCGTCGTCTTGTTTGGCCTCTGTTGTTATTGCAGAAACTGTTCCAAATGTTTTGCTTGTCTCGGTCGTTGGTACCACCTCCTCATATCTTGTTTTCAAACCGACCATCGCTGCAATCCTCTCTGTGAACGACGTTCTTTTTGTTTGAGAATAATCTTTTATCTTTTCCGGTGTGATGCTTGTTGTGTCCTCTACAGTATCAATTGGTGAAAACTCTATCGTCTTCTTTTCTTGTTCTTCCGCATTCGGCATTGGTGTTGATTCCGTTGCTTTCCTTTCCACCTCGTCAACACTCTGATCTGGTGTCTCAAGATCGATTTCTATAGCAGGTACAGTTGGTCCTTCCACAGCGCTTTCTTTCATCTTGTGTTCCTTTGCGCTGATTGTGTTGACCATGTTCACAGAAAAGTTCTTTCTCATTACTTTCGGATCCGATAGTGTTGCTTTCCGTTGCGACGAATTATGATTTTTCTTTGATTCTTAAACTCTTTTATCTGCTAGCGGTACCCTGCTTCGCCTCATAATTTTTATTTACAATTTTCTTTATATACAAAATTAATATTTACAAGTTTCTATTCTAAAATTTTTTTAAAAAATCTGAAAAATATTCCTAATTCTTTTAAGAAAAAATCATTTGAGTTCGTAATCTTAACAGTATGGACCTCGCACTGTCCCAAGACATCTTTTTCGTAGTGTTGGGACGCTTCGCACTGTCCCAAGACATCTCTGTTCTAGTGTTGGGACACTTCTTACTGTCCCAAGACCTCTCACTCAAATATTGGGACGCTTCGCACTGACCCAAGACCTCCCACTCAAGTGTTCGGACACTTCGCACTGTCCCAAGACCCTTCGTCCAAGTGTTGGGACACTTCTTACTGTCCCAGGACTTTACGTCCTAGTGTTGGGACACTTCACACTGTCCCAAGACCTAGTGTTGGGACAGCTCGCACTGTCCCAAGACCTCACACTCAAGTGTTGGGACACTTCGCACTGTCCCAAGACCTCCCACTCAAGTGTTGGGACACTTCGCACTGTCCCAAGACCCTTCGTTCAAGTGTTGGGACATTTCGTACTGTCCCAGGACCTTTCGTCCTAGTGTTCGGACACTTCACACTGTCCCAAGACCTAGTGTTGGGACACCTCGCACTGTCACAAGACCTCAGACTCAAGTTCTGGGACACCTCGCACTGTCCCAAGACCTCCCACTCAAGCGTTGAGACACTCTCTGCCTAGTACCCACAGCGCCCCTTTGTTTGCTGCCGACAGCCGTATTCTCGAGTCCATCAAGTCGTCTTTGTCGAAGCCCATCCTTTTCCTGGTTTCGATTGGTATGACGCTTAAGACCGCTCCTGTGTCCAATAACCCACGCATTTGAGTCTTCTTTCCGCTTATGTCTAGTACCTGCCCTGATACGTCCGCTTCCATCCCGATATGCATCGCGTCTTCTTCTAACCTGGCACAGCAGTGTCCAATCGATCTCATTTTTAGTTCTTGTCTACCCACGTAGATTTGTCCGGCTAGGTCTTCATCACATGTTATCATTGTCTTCGTGTAGATGTTTATTCCATCTATGTTTAGCATAACCTCATGTGGACCATATCCCTCCGTGTACCTATTGTCGACGCGAACTGATTTGCTGCTACTTCTTGTGAGTAGTGCCCTCACGGCTCTAGAAGTTGTTTGCGGGCTTACTGCACTCAAGTAATCTGCGTACACATCGATGTGCATTATCGTCTGATCGCTCGGTTCACTCAGGTTTCTTGTTACTTCGTGACCGCCCACTGTCGACATTATTCTCACTCCAATTTTCGTTATGTCAATTAGTTTTCCCGTCACCATTTTCAGAGTGTTGCAATTACCACCGTTTGTTGCACTCTCAATGGCTTCCGGCTCTGCGATTGTTCTTCAGAGTGTTCATTCAATTTCTGCTTCTCTATCTCCGGCCTCAGTCGTTGCTCGATTTCTTTTGTAGCCAAGTCTTGCTTCACTTTGTTGATTGGTTCTGCAGCAGCTTTCTCGTAGTTTATCTCCAGTGAATTCCCAGCCTCGGTTTACATGGCAATCTTGACTTGCGTTACCGCTTTCACCGTCTTTGTTGATAACTCCTCACTCGCTGCCTCCGTGTTCTTCAAATCGATTTCGGCTTGTCTGTTCCTCGTATTCTGTACCGTAGCCAGTGCTAATTTGTGTTTGGGATGATTTTGATTCTTCACAGCATCCCAAAATAACGGAGAATCCATCTTGAAATGGCCCTCCTGATTATAGAAGAAGCACCTTGGGCCTAATTTGATGATTAAGCCACTATAAAACTCGTGTTCCTCCATTTGGCACATGTCTTCTTTATCCGGAGCGTATCCCAGACTTTTCATGCCTTATTTGTATGTCGTGCAATCCGCTACGTGATGATTCGCTGATCCGCAATTTGCGCATGACCTGCGTTTATCCATATCATCTCTCGGCTTGTACCATGACAACCTTTGTTGTTGGCTTCCTCCTTGCATATTCCTGCCTTCTGAGTACGAGTACTTCTTTGGTTTCATCAACATGTACTCCCTAGACTTTTGTCTCATCTCTTCCGAGGTTGGTGCATTATCTTTTGAAAGTGTATAATACGTCGCCAACATCGTTTTCAAGTCGTCACTTTTTACCCCGTCGATAAACTTCGAGGCGATGCTGAAATTTTTTCTGTTTGTCGATTCTTCCGGATCACTCCTTTTTCTCAGGATCTCAAGATCATCCAGGAACCGATCGATTGACTCGTCGTCCCTCTGTCTTCTTTTTTCAAATCTCATCATAGCTTGGTGGCCCTTCTTTCCTGATCCGAATCGATTAAACAGTATTTCGAAGATCTTATCTGCCGTATCACGTTCCTCTTCCTTCTTTGCTACTACGCATTTCAACGCTGTGCCCTCTAGATTGTTTAGTTTTGCTGTGCACTCCTGCCTTTCGTCATTCAAGTTGTCCTGTTCTAAGTGTAGTCTCATGACTTCCACCCATGTGTCAATGCAGCCATCCGAGTCGTCTTTGAACTCTTTGGGTTTCTTGAAGGTCTTCCTGGATTTACCACTTCCTCTTTCACTCGAGTCAGTGTTCCTTGTCGCGAACGCTTCCAGTGTCCTGTTCATCGTCTCCCAGGTGCTTGCCGATGTCAATGCGTCAGGTGCTACATTAGTGTTCGTACTTGAGTCCTCTCGTGCATTCGTAGTGTTTGAGGTTCCACCCTTCATGATGGTCTTGGACCCCCTGCCCCTGTGCTCGTTGCAATCCGGTTTAACGGTGTAGACTCCCGTTCATTCCGTTGCGTTTCTTTGATGTCAACTCTGGTGCCTTGCGGTCTATCTGCTACCAGCTTGTCTTGCGCTGTAGAAATTCTCAAGAGAGCATCCAGTTTGGACTGTATGGCACAAGAACTTTCAGCTTGGTATTTGCTCATTGCGTCCATTCTCGTCTCTAGATTCCACAACTTTTCGTTCAAAGTGTCAAACCGTTGCTTCAATTCCTGCATGTCCTTTTTGATATGCTTCACTCGTTCTTTGTCGGTGGCCTCTACCTTGTCTGACATCTGCTGTAACTTTTCTTCCGTCGCCCTTGCCAGGTTGAAGCAGTTGTCTAGGTTCTTATTCTTGTAGTATCGTATTTTCTTTTTTAGCATTTGTTGATCCTCTTCGCTGCACTTCAATTTTTTGTCGATTTGCTCCATTTTTGCCATCAAGTCACCCAGCTCAAGAGAAGTTGTTTTTTTAATGGTTAGCTGTTGCCCCACGTTTGATCTGCTCATCGTATTGTTTGGCCTCTGTTGTTATTGCAGAAACTGTTCCAAATGTTTTGCTTGTCTCGGTCGTTGGTACCACCTCCTCATTTCTTGGTTTCAATCCGACCATCGCTGCAATCCTCTCTGTGAACGACGTTCTTTTTGTTTGAGATTCATCTTTTATCTTTTCCGGCGTGTTGCTTGTTGTGTCCTCTACAGTATCAATTGGTGAAAACTCTATCGTCTTCTTTTCTTGTTCTTCCGCATTCGGCATTGGTGTTGAATCCGTTGTTTTCCTTTCCACCTCGTCAAAACTCTGATCTGGTCTCTCAAGATCGATTTCTATAGCAGGTACAGTTGGTCCTTCCACGGCGCTTTCTTTCATCTTGTGTTCCTTTGCGCTTATTGTGTTGACCAAGTTCACAGAAAAGTTCTTTCTCATTACTTTCGGATCCGATAGTGATGCTTTCCGTTGCGACGAGTTATGATTTTTCTTTGATTCTTGAACTCTTTTATCAGCTATCGGCACCCTACTTCGCCTCATAATTTTTATTTACAATTTTTTTTTACAATATTAATATTTCCATTCTAAAATTTTTTTAAAAATCTAAAAAGTTTTCCTAATTCTCTTAAGAAAAATTATTCGAGTTCGTAATCCTAATAGTATGGACTATTGGCTGATTTTTGATCGTTCTGACTGGTTCCTGGTGCTTTTACTCAACTGTTGCGACACTTCAAACTATCCCAGGACGTCTTTTAAGTCTCCTAGGACCCTATGCTCAAGTATTGGTACACCTCGCACTGTCCCAAGACCTCTTTGTTGTAGTGTTGAGACGCTTCGCACTGTCACAAGACCTCCCACTCAAGTGTTGGGACACTTCTTACTGCCCCAAGACCTCTCACTCAAGTATTGGGACGGTTCGCACTGTCCCAAGACCTCCCACTCAAGTGTTGGGACACTTCGCATTGTCCCAAGACCCTTCGTCCAAGTGTTGGGACACTTCGTACTGTCCCAGTACTTTACGTCTCAGTGTTGGGACACTTCACACTGTCCCAAGACCTCACACTCAAGTGTTGGGAAACTTTCCACTGTCCCAAGACCTCCCACTCAAGTGTTGGGACATTTCGCACTGTACCAAGACCCTTCGTCCTAGTGTTGGGACACTTCACACTGTCCCAAGGCCTAGTGTTGGGACACCTCGCACTGTCCCAAGACCTCACACTCAAGTGTTGGGACACCTCGCACTGTGCCAAGACCTCCCACTCAAGCGTTGGGACACTTCGCACTGTCCAAGAATACCTGCTCAAGTGTTGGGACACTTCATACTGTCCCAAGACCCCTCACTCAAGCGTTGGGACACTTCGCAATGTCCCAAGACCCCCCACTCAAGTGTTGGGACACTTCTCACTGTCCCAAGACCCCTCACTTAAGTGTTGGGACAATTCACACTGTCCCAAGACTGCCTGCTCAAGTTTTGGGACACTTGGTACTGTCCCAAGACCCCTCACTCAAGCGTTGGGACACTTCGCGCTGTCCCATGACCTCTGTTTTCTAGTTTTGGGACAGTCGGATCTCTTCTTCTTTGGTGTTGGGACACTTAGATCACTATCCCTGGTAGCACCACTTGAGCTCTAGTATTAAAATTTCCCCAAAACCCAATCTTACTGA